GTTTATGCGGCTTTTGGCGGCTTTGGCTTTTCGCATCCTTGCTTTCGCAGTTCCTCTCCGGGCGTTTTGGCTTTTGCACCCTTTCACTGGATTTTGGATTTGGCTCCCCGCATCACCAGCATCACCAGTGTTCTCCCTATTTGAATCATCACTTCTTCGAACATCATGGGTGCCTCCCCCCCACCCCCCGCCACTTTTTAGATTCTTGCAGAGATTTAATTGCACCCCTAATTGAATCATCACTTTTCCGAGCGTCCAATTTCGCGAGAAAATGCTGTAAAATACGACATTGTAGGTAATCTATGTAATCCATGTATGGTCTGTAGGGTATGCACTTCTTCGAACATCATAGGGGAAGCCACCCCCGCCAACCATCCCGCTGCCTTTTAAATTCTATCGCACCCGTTCTTGAATCATTGCACTCCTACTTGAATCATCACTTCTTCGAACATTATGGGGGGGGCTGCCGCGCCCCCCCCCCCCCAACCCCCCCCCCCCCCGCTACGTTTTAGATTTTCTACAGAGATTTAATTGCACCCCTATTTGAATCATCACTTCTTCGAACATCATGGGGGGGCTGCCGCCCCCCCGCTACTTTTTAGTTTTCTTATAGGGATTGAAATGGCCTCCTATTTGAATGATATTTTTTTGACCCCGTCAACCCGCCAGCTACTTTTTTGATTATGTTACCCAGGATTTGTTGGTGATGCTAGGGATGTTGGTCGGACATGCGGGGGATGTTGAAAACGATTCTGGGGATGTTGGCGGGCTAATGTAAAAAGGCGGCAATTTCACGAGAAAATGCTTAAAAAAACGAAATTTTACTGGCCCGGACGAAAAACGGAAAAAAAAGGGAAAAAAAACACGAAAAAACAGATCGAAACAAATCCCAAAAAACATCCGCACCCTATAACAAGTGGCTTATGGCCTTTCGGAAAGTTGATGCAGGATTCGGCTTGCAGCACAGTCTCGGTATGGAGACGTCTGATTGCAAGGACTTGACGTGGGCCTTGCTACAATTAATCCAAACCAGCTGTATCATAAGAACACTCCTAACACGTTATTCGCTTTGCAGCTGCGCAGTCCTCAATCCAACTATTGACATGCGTTTCCTCTGAAGCCGCGAAATTAGGACAACACCGAACATATGCTTCCCTGCACTGCTCTGGCACAAATCCGACGCCAGTTTCTTCGCATCAGCCCCGCTGCCTCTTCGTTCAGGGATGAACTCAATGCGTGTCGACATTCTGCTTTCGGATTGATTGCTCTATATGGGGAGACCTAAACGCACTTTGCTTCCCCTGGGATTGGGAGATAGGGGGGATTGTGAAGTTCATGGAACTCTGTTGGACCCCTCAAAAGCAGCTGTAGTCATGGGCTCGCCATGCAAAAAGGAAGCCGGGCCGCAAACAATCCAAGAACCCTCCTTCAATGACGGTTCCTTTCACAGTTCGGGGTATGCTCAGCAAGTATGTTTGAAGGCTCTTGGACACATACACACACACACACACAAATTTTCCAAGCCTTGCCAAGAGGTTCATCACTGTGCAGCAGCTCTTCGTAGTGAGCATCCAGATGGTGCTGCTGCACATGGTGCTAAAGCTTCACCTCGGTTTGTGCCTTCGGCAAAAGAGCGGACCCGGCCCCGAAGCGAAGAACACATCTCAACTTTTGATGCTACTGTTTGAGTTGTTTGATGTTTTCCCTAGAAGGAAGTCCCGTTTTGTCCGGCCATGTAATTGATCTAATTGCCTGCCCATCTCTCCAGGGTTTGGAAGACCCCCCGAAGTCCAAATGTTCGATGCGCGAGCCACATGCATGTGAATGTACTCGTCCGTCCGGGAAGCCCGGGTTGAGTGACTTCAATCAACCCCGTGCAGTCACCACCTCGGAATATTAGGAACGGTTCATGACCCGTGACATGTGCATTTGCTCAGCCATGCGCGCTGCCTGCCTGATGACATCCGTGCAGAGAGCAGTCGTCCTCAATGTTCCGGCATGCACGCTGCACACATCAATGTGTTCGTTCTAACAACTCTCGGAAAGATTGAGCTGTAAACAACAACCAAGCCAGTGGGTAACCATTTTGTGGACGTGGGGCTATTTGTTGTGTATTTAGTGCCAGCACCATAGACACAAACTTGGAAATCTTGGAGAGCACCTTCCGGCGTATTTGACACGTGCCCTATGATGAACTTCGAGGCGGCCTTTGTTCCGTGTAATGTTGGGACCTTGGATTTACGAGTTGAGCGAGGAAACCGGAGTTTGCAAACGTGCCGGGTTTAACGGTTTTGAATTTGATCCAGGTGCTCAGCCACTGACCTGGACACCTTCAAAGTTTGCGTTTGCATTGACCAAAAACTGATCTCGCTGACTACAGCGTTGCAAAAGCACATCAGCAGCTGCTCTGGCTGGAATCCTATGAATGCAAAGTTATTCAGCCTGAATCTTAATCACCAGTCGGCTGTAATCCAAAATTCCGCTCAGCTGACAGCTGCGTGAACTCAGGAAGGATTGCTTGTGAGGCCTCGTATGGGTACCCTGCAAATGGACGGTTCACCACCTTTTCCCTTTTGGCCAAATCGCCAACATGGGCATTCTCCTTTTGTAGAAGAATAACACACATGGATTCCCCCCCCCAAACAAAAAACACCATTGTGGTTTTCCCTATGGCTTCCCTTCAAAACCACCAACAACGAAAAAGGCACGGCCATGTAACGAGCTTTGGCCTCCAGGCATGGCATTTGGATGACCTTCGCTGTGAGGGTGCTGCTGTTTATCCCCATTGCAATGGCGTGGGTTTGTACAGGCAACGGTTCGCTTGGACGCGTCATGTTCCCAAAAGCCTCGCCAAAGGCGGGACAGGCATGATGGCCAACGCGTTGGATAGGCACCATGCCTCAGGCCAGGTGAATTGCACTGAACGCGGTGCATTGTTCATGTTGCTTTGCAGCTTTTCGGTGCGTTGGACTGTTGTAGTCCAGCCCTGCCTGGCTTTTGTTCCACGAGCATTCTTGGCCAAGCATGATTGACTGATTCAAGTATGGTGGCGATGTAGGCCAAGCGAAGAGATGATGGCACCGCCAACAGCAGACCAACAGCACGCTGCGCCCGTGTCGGATTTTCGGCATTCGCCGTCAGCGCGATTCATACGATGAAGAAGAAACATGTGGCTGCCGGGCATTTGATTAGAACATACAGCTGCCGAATGCAGTGTGGAGTTGTGATTTCCCTTTGATGCACTGCGTTCTCCGCCCACTGCTTTCGGTGTTTTTTGCACAGAGGAATAGCCAATAGCGCGTTCTTGGTTCTTTGCTTGGTAGGCTCCCCACTTGCCAAATGCACTATTCCCATTGCAGACTTTGGTTTCAGCAACATGCAACTTCTTGTCAGCCCCAGCGATTCGATGCCTATCTGTTTGCTTGCTTGGCTTCGGATTGCCGTGGTTAACACGTGTGTTATGAATAACAACTCTGAGCCAGTGACCCTTATGTCATACTTGGTTAGTTTTGGGACACCCTACCGATTAATAAAACGACATGACGTGCACATGCGTGATCCTTGCAAGCCTTGCAATGCAACTGAATGCATACCGGTCGCCATTTTGGCGAAAAGGATCATTTATTTTCACTTGCCCTGATCCTTGTGCTAACCAGTGCGCCATCACCTTCAACGACCTTTGGGACCAGGAGGTACGCAACGCTTTCCAGCTCCAGGCAATGTCCGAGAACGATGCCAACATCAACACCTTGTGGTTGGCCATCTAGCGTCATCTCGACCTCTTAGCCGACCATCCCGGCCGTGAGGCCACCATGCGACACGAGCAGGTCTGTACATACCTTGCGCGTCATCTCAGTTGCAGGTGCAGGCGAGTGAACCCCCGGAGTTCTGTGCCCGAACTCATCGTGAATTCATCGATGACCGATGGACCAAGGGACACCATCTGCTACAGACACTTTCGTAACGTGAACGCCAACCCAGCTGCAGGCCGTGACAAAGGCGCGCTGGAGTGCTACAACGTGCGCGCGCCAACATCATCAACGGCAGCCCCAGATCGTTCCCAGAGACGATGATCCTGGGCCAACCGAATCACTGCCAGAATGTGTACGAACACTGCAAGAGCAAGCGCTACACCGCACCATCGCTGGGTGCAATCATCTCCCAGCGCACCTTCACGGCCATGGGCGCCGTGGACTGGGTGGCCCGCGAACAGAAAGCAGCACGGACCTTGATTGTCGCCAACTTTTTCTTTTCGAGACAGTGCCTAAGGATTGGGACCCCAACAACGTACTGATCGTACTTGCCCAGGACTTCGAGGCTCTCTCCAGAAACCTAGCCCTGCGCTGGGCATCGCCGACGCTGCAGATGGGGGAATCATTTTTTAGACCGAGAGCGTGGTGGGCGCGCAACAGCACACACCGTGGCAGCAGGGGGACTCCAGCACTGCCTGACCACACAAGGTGCGACAGATGCACCGCCAAACCTGCCTGACCAAACGTGGGCGAACTGGGAACGCGGACAACGACAATTCGGACCATGGCAATACCAACAGAAATACATAGTCCGACCACACAGCGGAGAATGGCAGGCGGCGACACTGACGGGATTTTCCAGAGGCCGGACAGGCGCAGAAAACTCTGATTTCCCTCTCCGGGCATGCATCAACCTGACTCCATGGAGCACAAGGCTCAGCCGCAATGCCGCGAACTCTAACGTCCATTGTATGGGCCCGTAGACCGGGAAGGGTGAGGAGGCGGAAAGGGGACCTAGATCCTTGGTTCCGAACAGCCCGAAAGGTGCTTGAAACAATCGCAAGCGTGATTTATTTTGTTCTGTAGCGTCTTCTTTTGCACAATCAACACATTTTTCCTGCAGGATTTTATCCAGTGTGTTATTTTCGGAAGAGTGCAGAGGGGCCCTGCCAAAAGCTTGCCTTTGTCTGCATTCCTTTTGAGACAATTCCGATGTGACTTGTGGCCAGCAGCTTTCCACATTCTCAGGTGTGAAGTGCTGCTGGACCACCCGCGGCAAGCTGGTAAGCTGAGCACCAAAGACGTGCAAGGCAGCTACTTCTGTTTTGATTTGACCAACAGTAACGCTTTGTTGCCTATTTTTTGGGTACGTGTTTCTTTCTTTGTTTGGTTGATAGTTGATTGGTTGCCTGGCTGGTTTTTTGCCTGCGTTTGTTTGCTCGCTCGCTTGGCTTGCTTTGCTCGCTTTGCACGCTTTGCTTGCGTTGCTTGCTTTGCTTGGGTTGCTTGCTTTGCTTGCTTTGCTTGCGTGCGTGTGCGTGCTTGCTTTGCTTGCTTCGCTTGCTTCGCTTGCTTGCCTTGCTTGCTTGCTTTCTCGCTTCCGTTTTTGCTTGCTGGCGTGGGCGTGCTTGTTTGCTTGCTTGCTTGCTTGCCTGCTTGCCTGCTTGCTTGCTTGCCTGCTTGCCTGCTTGCCTGCTTGCTTGCTTGCTTGCTTGCTTGCTTGCTTGCTTGCTTGCTTGTTTGTCTGTTGGTGGATGGGTTGGTGTGCGGGTGGGTGGGTTGGTGGATGGCTGGCTGGGTGATGGCTGGCTGGCTGCGTGGCTGGGTTCGCGTTTCTATGCAACACATTCGCGTAGCTTTGACTCTGCGCTGATTGATTACGGTCTTTCTCTAGTGTTGATGAAAGCGGCTTGCAAGGTCCAAATTTCGTAGCCGGTTTCGTTTGTATCAGTTTGTACATTTGACACAACACGCCGTGGGTTGATGTCCGTATTGCCTTTGCAGCTAGCTTTCGTGGCCAGCTTTCAATTGGCTATGAGAATTCACGCTGGGTTTACTGCCATGAAGGGAATTATGCTATCCATGTTTTCCTAACCGTTTGTGTTCAGGTCCTTTGGTTCGCAGGGCTTCTCCTTCGCGTGCAGGCAGAACGCCTCTTGAGCGCGCCATCAGGGAGGGTCGCCTGAAAGCCAGCCGAGGGGCCCAGCGAAGTTGCGACGGGGTGTGCAAAATCGATTTGGCGATCACGGGGTAATCAGCTAGGTTGGTTCCTTTTTGCATGTACCTGAATGGCCTAGCATTCATTGGTTTGCATTTGGGGTGGGTTGTTTTCAAGGTGTTTGGCAAGACCCTAAATTCCAACCTAATTGCAGGGGACCGAGGCGAGTAAACCAAGTCAGCTCTCCACGATTCTCATCTGTCATGGCTGTTCCTTATTGCTTGCCTGCCATGGCCGCCATGTGCGGCTATGACTCCACAAAGACCTGACAAACCACAAGCAGCGCAATTTGGGACTGCCCAACCAACACGTTTGGCATGTGTCGGGTAAGTCATGATCGGTGAAGAAAGAACAATGTGTGGTGAAGAGGATTTCAAGACGGTCATGACACTGCAAAGATGTCAACACAGTTGTAAATAGACATCACGACCACTCCCAACATCAGGAGTCCTGACCACAACATTTTGTATCTCTGAGAGCTCACAGGTTGTTTTGGCTGACGTTGGGACAGACTCATACAGGCACTCATAGTGTCTCTCGATCTCGGCGCAGGCCGGTTTTTGAATCAGCGTGGCCCCCCGGAGCTATACTCGGGTTTGCGGTTGACTTGGAAGGATTGGCACCACGCGGGGTGGAGAGCTCAAGTTTCAGGCTGACGAATTTGGTAGAGGTCTTCAGAGAAGTGGAGTTAAGTTTGCAGCCCAACTTGAAATCAGAGAAAGATGTGGTCCCTGAACGCTTGTGTGTCCTTCACACTACCCTTGCAACATGAATCAGTGCCACTAGAAGTGATGTAGCAAGGCGGTATTGGGCTTGCTATTACCGACTTCTGGAGCTTGGTGAGTAATTGGGAAAGGGGGTTTCAGGATGTTTGGCTTGTCGAATGAAACAACAGACACACACACAAGGAAACATGCCTGAAGATGTACCACACCACGGGCCCAAACTACGATGGCAAGTGTCAAGTAACTCGTCCCTAAAGCAAAGTGCTTGCGGGTTGAATCGAGGACCTAGGAGGAGCTTCTCAGGGACCATTGCGTGAGAAATTGTTATAATCATCAATAGGTTTGACTTTCATTGAAGATTTCACAAGTCATTGGAGGCTCTACAGTAGACTTGCCGCTCTACAGAGTCGGCATTTATCAGCAAGTGCTTTGACGATGTTCGAGGGGCTGAGTGCATTAGGTGTATCATTTTCTTTTTGACACCCGTAGTTTTAGTAGCAACTGCTTATTGGATTTAGCTGGTGAGAGATAAGGAGGAAACAGACACAGCTGGCTGCATGTATCGTGATGGAGCTTTATCGACGTCCAGCTATGCATGTGGAGGTCGGTGGGCTTGTTGCGTGAGATTCTCCGTGAGATTAAATTATAAGTAATTAAGGATCAAGCCCCTGTGACCTCTAGCTGAAAGCATGCATGTTGTCCTATTTGTTTTCCGATTTGCTTTGGAGATCATGCAGATCTCAGCTTGATCACATGTTGCGCAAAGCATGCTTGTGGACAAACCCTCAGATGTCTAAGCACGATAAATCGCCAGGCTATGTAGCGCAATTTTTATTATTGATGTGTGCAGAGTGGTTTACACAGCCTCCCGAAACTCGCGCCACCGTCTGATCTTGGAACGAAACTGGAGACATATAGCACCCCATGGTCCTTTATGATCGTGGATGCTGGAGACAAAGTGGATAGCTGTCACACATTTGACTTGTCGGTCTTTGATCATGCGGAGAGACCAAGTGATGGTTTTGCTTGCCCGAGGCTTACCAGACAACAGGCACCGCGCTGGCAGGGGAGTATCCTGAGAGTGTGTTCATATTGCTTGGTGGTGGGATGCAGTCAACACCTCTCAGTTGGGGGCACCCATTTTCGTGATACATCCTTGCTTCCGCTAAGAATGTTTGTGACCTCAAGTCCCAGGGTAGTGGGTAGGCTTCAGTTCCCCTTTGCCTGCAAGCCATCCTGTTCTGCAACAACTCCTTGTATACATCAGGATTCCGAGCGAATCGGAAAAAACGACTAAACAACTTTTCTGTTTTGGGGGCGCGTTACGTTCCACCGCAATCATTGGGGTGTGCGCAGCTGCGGACAATTGCATTCTTTCATTTCGTGGTTCATACTTTTGTCGATTGTATGCCTAGTTCTGATCATCTTGCGAGTGCTGATTTCTGAGCAATCTTGACATCGCATTGGTTCCTCTTGCCTTGCAGGTACCAATGTTGCCCGCTGCTTCTGGTATGCTTTGGGTACGTATATTTTAAATAGGATATCTGTGAGATCCAAGTGCCGGTGATCAAGAGCACATCGGTTTTGACTACCAGCATGCTTGTAGAATGGCACTCACGTTCTTGAGTGTAACTCCTCCCCAACGGTTTGCACCATGTCCACTTCATGCAACACAATGTTCCTTGGTGCAAACATGCTAACACCAAAGTGTCCACTTTCCGTGGGCTGGATGGGCTGAGTCTTCATGCGGGATTTGTATGTGTTTCAATTGCGAGATGCTTAGGCCATGCACGTGGGGAGGGGGTTCAATGGACTGGCGTGTGAGAGATGGTTGCAGCGCCTCGTTGAGGCCACACGCACAGCTCCAGATCGACAGGCGCGGATGTGGAGACATGGGCCGTCGTGAGTCAAGGCCAGTGAGATTTCAATGAGCTTTTCAAGTCCAGAGAAACTCTTTGGTATCACAAAGAGATGTGAGACAAAACCCAATATCTTTCCAAGGATTTGCGGGTCGAAGGAATATCATATTCCAATTGTGTTCAAGGTATATCTATCCATGATTCTTGGGACCACTTTGGCCACACGAGTGCTGCGTGCAGGTTGGTGTGCGAAGGGTCGTATTGTCTCATACTAGCATGCTTTGTTGTGTCGCATTGTGCTCTTTGGTGCATGTTGCTGGATTCATATGCGTGCTACTATTGCCTTCTGCAACTGTATAGTTACGCAGTATCAACATCACTGCGTCTGAAGTTGCATGCTTTCCCAACAGTTTGTTTCCGTTCGGAGAGCATTGAGAGCACACCAAGATTGCCAAGAATTACAACTACCGATTGATATTTAATATGATTTGCTTGCCAACTCGCACAAGTGCGCCTGTGACCAGAACTGCAGCACCGCCTCGAGAGCGCTTTGGTGTATCGCTTAGACTCTTCAATCATGGAGTCATGCAATGTACCCCGGGCAAATGAGCCAAGCAGAATTGGCGATGCAGCAATTCACGGTGCGCGGCAATTCCCAGGTTGATTGAATGCATTCGTTTGGGACCCTTCGGCCAATTGCGCGGAGTGAATGACCAAGCGCAACCTGAACATCGAATGGAGGGGTTGCCAACAATGCGGGCCCCCAAAGGGGGCCTTGGATTCGGTCAAGTTTCTGTAGTGAAAGGCCATCCGTTTCCTGGCCTTTGCAGGAAGTGACCTTCAGAGCTTTGGACAACGGGGACGGCATCGTCAGCCGGCAAGTTCAGAAGGCGCTGCCCAGTCCCCAGCTTTTGTTTTTGGCCGATGCGTGGACATCCGGAAATGCCCATCACTGGGCCAAAACATACGTGCAAATCTTCTCGGCTGGGCTTGTAGGCTCGGGTGGCTTTCAATTGCCGGTCGGCCCTTCAACAGGGGCCGCTCGCGGGTGTTTATGCATGTTAGTTAGAGGCTAGGCACTTGCAGCCATGAAGCTGCCGTAATGTGCACGCTCCACTCTTCCGAGCTGGCAGGCCAAGTTGAGCTTTGAGCGGCTAGTTTCCTTAGCATTTGAAGGGGTCGACTCCAATGCGGCGACGAGTCTTCTGTTCACAACTGTGTTTGTTTTTGAATGTTCTTTTGGTTCTGCAGAAGAGTCCTGCATGTTTACTTGCACGGCGTCTTCTCATGTAAGCACTCACAATGCGTGCCAAATGTAATGGGCTTGCTCCAGAAGCTATGAGGTCAACGTAGCACGCATTTGTCAAGCAAGCAATTTCCGTTTAAAATGCTAAACTCATGCGCTGTGTGGCAGGTGCAGAGGCAGCTCGACATGATGGATGAAAATGGTGACGGCAGCATCAGCAGAGCAGAGTTTGACAAGGCTGATGTGATACCAGCGATGCATATGGCACACGCATATGATACAAGTTGATACATGCCTTTGTGCTAATCCGTGATTTGGAGGCTGTACTTGATGTTGCCAATGCAGCCTTGCCGGTGCAAGTGCAGCGATCTGTAGCGCTTGAACTTTCAGGGATGCGCAAAGAAGGCTCTTGAAGACTGTTGAAGCGTGCAGAGGCCATCAAGCAGACAGCCTTGGATCTGAACGGCGACGGTGTTGTGACAGCGCAGGAAGTCCAGCAGGCAGGGGGTTGAGTGAGCAGCATTGGGCAGCAGAAGCGTCGTGCATTTGGGCTGTGTGTGTGTGTGTGTCATGTTGATGTAAATCCGGGTTTGCACAATGCTGCAAGTGGTGTTGACAATCTGCCGGTCAGCGCAGAGTCTGCAGGCGAAGGACACTTTCAGAGCCCTTGACACCAATGGCGATGGCGTCGTCAGCCTGCAAGAAGTTCAGAAGGCGCCGTTAGCACTGGAGTGTGAGTGGTCTGAATTGCTTGCAGGGCCATTCGGGCATGAGGTTTGCGTAGCTGTAGGTAGTGATTTTGATGAGCGGATGTCATGGCTCAAATAAGTTGTGATGAGCAACTGGCGCGTGCAGCTGTGTCAGCCGCACGGTTTGGGCTCATAGACATCGACTCGTATATTGCCCTACTCATCTGAGGTGCTAAGCAGGGAACAGGCTGTGATTTGATAGGGTTGCTGCGAAGCTATGAGGTCAGTATCGACAATCATAAAGTGACTTGTAAAGCAGGCGAGTGTAGCTTGTGTGCCTTATTATGCGAGTGGCGGGCAGGTGCAACAGCAGCTGGACATGATGGATGAAAATGGCGACGGCAGCGTCAGCAGAGCAGAGTTTGACAAGGCGGTGGTGGTGTCGATGACGCATGTGGCGGAACATATGCTTGTTTTGCAAGTTGATGCATGCTTTGCGTTCTCACTTGACGTGGATTGCAGGCTGTCATGTTGGCAACACAGCTGGGCCTATTCAAGTACAGATATCAGTTGCTTGATCCTACAGGGATGCGCAAGCAAGGACTTTGAAGCTTGTTGAATGGCGCAGAGGCTGTCAAGCAGCAGACAGCCTTGGATCTGAACGGCGACGGTGTTGTGACAGCGCAGGAAGTCCAGCAGGCAGGGGGTTGAGTGAGCAGCATTGGGCAGCAGAAGTGTCGTGCATCTGGGCTGTGTGTGTGTGTGTGTCATGTTGATGTAAATCCGGGTTTGCGCAATGCTGCAAGTGGTGTTGACAATCTGCCGTCAGCGCAGCAGTCTGCAGGCGAGGGACACTTTCAGAGCCCTGGACACCAATGGCGATGGCGTCGTCAGCCGGCAAGATGTTCAGAAGGCGCCGTAGCACTGGGTTGAACATTATGAGAAACGATAAGCCATGCAGCAGAGACAGCTGCGCACCAGTTGCTCTCAAAGAAAGTCATGGAGCTTATTTCAGGGAGGCGACCAGACAATACCTGCTGGTTCAGACTACTTGAAAAAATCTCTGCTACCTACGAGAAGCTTCTGGTGAAAGGCCCTGCAAGCAAAGCAAACGGGGTGCTCAACACGGCACAGACTCTGATTTGATAGGGTTTCGGCGAAGCTGTGAGGTCAGTATAGACAATCGTAACGTGATTTGTAAAGCAGGTTATTTCCGCCTTGTGTGCCTTATTTTGCGAGTGGCGGGCAGGTGCAGAAGCAGCTGGACATGATGGATGAAAACGGCGACGGCAGCGTCAGCAGAGCAGAGTTTGACAAGGCGGTGGTGGTGTCGATGACGCATGTGGCGGAGCATATGCTTGTTTTGTAAGTTGATGCATGCTTTGTGTTCTCACTTGACGTGGATTGCAGGCGGTCATGTTGGCAACACAGCTGGGCCTATTCAAGTACAGATATCAGTTGCTTGATCCTACAGGGATGCGCAAGCAAGGACTTTGAAGCTTGTTGAATGGCGCAGAGGCTGTCAAGCAGCAGACAGCCTTGGATCTGAACGGCGACGGTGTTGTGACAGCGCAGGAAGTCCAGCAGGCAGGGGGTTGAGTGAGCAGCATTGGGCAGCAGAAGTGTCGTGCATCTGGGCTGTGTGTGTGTGTCATGTTGATGTAAATCCGGGCTTGCAGAATGTTGCGCTTATCGTGAGCAATCTGTGCCAATGCATTGCCGGTCAGCCAGCAGTCTGCAGGCGAAGGACACTTTCAGAGCCCTGGACACCAATGGCGATGGCGTCGTCAGCCGGCAAGAAGTTCAGAAGGCGCCGTAGCACTGGAGTGTGAGTGGTTTGCGGCACTTGCAGGGCCGTTCGCCAGAAGCTGTTTGAGGTAGTGGAGACTGTTTCTCAAGGAGTCTGAATCAGCAGGTGTTGTGTTGTTATCTCTCTGAAATAAGTTCTATGACTTCCTTTGAGAGCAACTGGAACGGAGCCATCTCAACTGCATGGTTAAGCCGAATAGATGTCGTTTTTCTTATTGTCCAACCCGTTTGAGGTGCTCAACACAAGACAGACTGTGATTTGATAGGGTTGCCGCGAAGCTATGAGGTCAGTATAGACAATTGTAACATGATTTGTAAAGCAGGTTATTTCTGCCTTGCGTGCCTTATTTTGCGCGTGGCGGGCAGGTGCAGAAGCAGCTGGACATGATGGATGAAAATGGCGACGGCAGCGTCAGCAGAGCAGAGTTTGACAAGGCCGTGGTGGTGTCAATGGCGCATGTGGGAACATAGGAGCGTCTAGCAAAACGTCTGGACGACCAATATGTAAAGGGCTGGACATGACATACCAACATGTGCGGTAGAGCGTGCCAAAAGCATGCGGGGCGATAGGGTTACCAAACAAATTCGATACCCCCACGGTTTTGTGTACCACTGAAAAGTTGTGACTTTCGAGCCGGGCTGTACTTCCTTTACTAGACTTGCACTGAACATTTGCGACTTTCGAGCCCGAGCTGCCAAAGTGTTTTTTTGTTTGCTACACTTGTGCTGAAGAGTTGCGACTTCCGAGCCGGAGCTGCCGAAGTGCACTTCCTTTACTACACTTGTGCTGAAAAAGTTGCAGCTTTCGAGCCGGGCTGCCAGAGATTGCTACACTTGTACTGCCAAAGTGCACTATGTCACAGTTGTCACAGTTGTGCTGAAAAGTTGCGACTTCCGAGCCGGAGCTGCCAAAGCGTATTTCCTTCACTACACTTGCACTGAACGGTTGCGACTTCCGAGCCGGAGCTGCCCAAGTGTACTTCCTTTATCTCACTTGTGCTGAAAGTTGCGACGTTCAAGCTGGCAAAGTGTATGTACTTCGTATTCCTGTGAACCGGCAAAGTGCACAAAACCCTGTAAAATGATAGGGCTACAAAACAAACGATAACCCCCCCGGAGGTTGCACAAGTTGCTCTAATGCTTGTGTTGTGAGCTCACGCGGCTAACACAGCTGGGCGGGCCTATTCAAGCACAGATATCAGTTGCTTGATCCTACAGGGATGCGCAAGCAAGGAGTTTTGAAGCTTGTTGAACGGCGCAGAGGCTGTCAAGCAGCAGACAGCCTTGGATCTGAACGGCGACGGTGTTGTGACAGCACAGGAAGTTCAGCAGGCAGGGGGTTGAGCAGCATTGTCGCAGCAGAAGTGCCGTGCATTTGCGCTGCGCTGATTTTGATGATGTAAATCCGGTCTTGCAGAATGTTGCGCATGTTGTGAGCAATCTGTGCCAATGCATTGGCAGTCAGCCAGCAGTCTGCAGGCGAAGGACACTTTCAGAGCCCTGGACACCAACGGCGATGGCGTCGTCAGCCGGCAAGAAGTTCAGAAGGCGCCGTAGCACTGGAGTGTGAGTGGTTTGCGGCACTTGCAGGGCCGTTCGCCCGAAGCTGTTTGAGGTAGTGGAGACTGTGTCTCAAGGAGTCTGAATCAGCAGGTGTTGTGTTGTTATCTCTCTGAAATAAGTTCTATGACTTCCTTTGAGAGCAACTGGAACGGAGCCATCTCAACTGCATGGTTAAGCCGAATAGATGTCGTTTTTCTTATTTGAGGTGCTCAACACAAGACAGACTGTGATTTGATAGGGTTCCGCGAAGCTATGAGGTCAGTATAGACAATCGTAACATGATTTGTAAAGCAGGTGATTTCTGCCTTGTGTGCCTTCTTTTGCGCGTGGCGGGCAGGTGCAGAAGCAGCTGGACATGATGGATGAAAATGGCGATGGCAGCGTCAGCAGAGCAGAGTTTGGCAAGGCGGTGGTGGTGTCAATGGCGCATGTGGCGGAACATGTGCTTGTGTTGTGAGTTGATGCATGCTTTTGTGTTCTCACTTGACGTGGATTGCAGGCTGTCATGTTGGCAACACAGCTGGGCCTATCAAGTACAGATATCAGTTGCTTGATCCTACAGGGATGCGCAAGCAAGGACTTTGAGGCTTGTTGAATGGCGCAGAGGCTGTCAAGCAGCAGACAGCCTTGGATCTGAACGGCGACGGTGTTGTGACAGCACAGGAAGTTCAGCAGGCAGGGGGTTGAGCAGCATTGTCGCAGCAGAAGTGCCGTGCATTTGCGCTGCGCTGATTTTGATGATGTAAATCCGAGCTTGCAGAATGTTGCGCATGTTGTGAGCAATCTGTGCCAATGCGTTGCCGGTCAGCCAGAAGTCTGCAGGCGAAGGACACTTTCAGAGCCCTGGACACCAACGGCGATGGCGTCGTCAGCCGTCAAGAAGTTCAGAAGGCGCCTTAGCGCCGGAGTGTGAGTGGTTTGTGGTACTTGCAGGGCCATTTGGCCATGAGCTTTGAGTAGCCAGCGACGAGTGTTTTTCAAGGAGTCGCAACAAACTGGTTCGCAGCTGTGGTGGGATTGCAGCGCTATGAGGTCTTTGTGTATGAAGACAGGCCTTATGTGCCTTGTTTTGCGCGTTGTGGGCAGGTGCAGAAGCAGCTGGACAGGATGGATGAGAATGGCGACGGCAGTGTCAGCAGAGCAGAGTTTGACAAGGCCGCGGTGGTGTCAGGTTCGTGACGTCTTTGTGTTCTCACATGACGTGGATTGCAGGCTGTAGGGTTTCTCACACAGGCTGGGCCTATTCACGTACAGATATCATCTACTTAATCCTACAGGGATGCGCAAACAAGGATTTTGATGCTTGTTGAATGGCGCAGAGGCTGTCAAGCAGCAGACAGCCTTGGATCTGAACGGCGATGGTGTTGTGACAGCACAGGAAGTCCAGCAGGCAGGGTTGAGCAGCGTTGGGCAGCAGAAGTGCCGTGCATTTGCGCTGCGCTGATTTGCTGATGTAGAGTCGGCTGTGCGCAGTGTGTCGTGAGTAATCTGTGCCAATGCATTGCCAGTCAGCGAAGACGTCTGCAGGCAAAGGACACTTTCAGAGCCCTGGACACCAATGGCGATGGCGTCGTCAGCCGGCAAGAAGTTCAGAAGGTGCTGAGCACTGGAGTGTGAGTGGTTTGCGGCACTTGCAGGCCGTTCGCCAGAAGCTGTTTGAGGGAGAATGTTTTTCAAGGAGTCTGAATCAGCAGGTGTTGTGTTGTCACCTCTCTGAAATATGTTCTATGGCTTTCTTTGAGAGCAACTGGAGCGGAGCTGTCTGAACTGCATGGTTATGGTTTCTCACATTGTGAAAACCCGCTTGGGATGCTCAACACGGGACAGACTGTGATTTGGTAGAATTGCAACGCTATGAGGTTATTGTAGGGAATCGTAGCGATTTGTAAAGCAGGCCTCATGTTCCCGAAGCCCTATTTTGCGCGTGGTGGGCAGGTGCAAAAGCAGCTGGACATGATGGATGAAAATGGCGACGGCAGCGTCAGCAGGGCAGAGTTTGACAAGGCCGTGGTGGTGTCCATGATGCATGTGCCGCACCACATGAGGGTCATGCAGGTGATGCATGCCTTTGTGTTCTCACATGACCTGGATTGCAGGCTAAAGTGTTGCTTGCACAGCTAGGCCTATTCAAGTATAGATACATATGTATATATATATACACATGTGTATCACCTGCGCCTGATCCTACAGGTATGCGCAAGCAGGGAGTTTGATGCTTGTTGAATGGTGCAGAGGCTGTCAAGCAGCAGACAGCCTTGGATCTGAACGGCGACGGTGTTGTGACAGCACAGGAAGTTCAGCAGGCAGGGTGTTGGGCAGAGTTGTCGCAGTAGAAGTGTCGTGCAGGTGCGCTGCGCTGATTTTAATAATGTAAATCGGGGCTTGCAGAATGTTGCGCATGTTGTGAGCAATCTGTGCCAATGCGTTGGCAGTCAGCGCAGACAGCTGCAGGCGAAGGACACTTTCAGAGCCCTGGACACCAACGGCGATGGCGTCGTCAGCCGGCAAGAAGTTCAGAAGGCGCCGTAGCACTGAAGAGCGAGTGGTTCGCGATTCGGCCAAAAGCTTTCCTGCAATAGATCTTATTTATTTCTTTGAGAGCAACGCGGCGGCGCTTCGCATATCGTTCAACCCATTTGTTAAAACCCTCCTGGCCCCGTGCCTAAATTGGGAAGCAGTTCTGAGGTCCGTGTTTGTATTGCTTACAAGGTTCCATTGATTGCCACTTGGCTCAAGTCACAAGTGAGGTTCAAGATCTTATGTGAAGCTGCGTTCATACGTGATCGGCAATTGAGAGCGGAAAACACTTCGCTTGCGCTGCATTTGTCAGGACCACTGTTGTAACTATTATTCCTTCTCCCTTACAACAGTTACACGGGTTCGGCTATAACGGTTTGACCGTAAACACCTTTCTACGTGGTTGGTATTTACAGCTGGAGGGTTCGGTGGACAGCGTCCCACGGGACGTCACCTTGCCGTCTCTTGACAGGTTATCAGCCGTAACGACAAGCTCTACACTGGACAGAGAGACAGCTGGTTTATTGCGGGTACAGGGACAATAAAGGGACAATAACCTACACGGTACAATGGCATCTTCAGCGAGCCCAAGTACTGCAACTTTTGGGAACAGCAGCTCAGAGGGATCCAATGGATTGATGGCTCTTCCTGCGGTGATGGATTTGGTCGCAGATTTACAGGATGAACCTGGGAGCGGAGGTTCCGCGCTATTCAGCGACATATCCACTCCTACAAGATCATGGAAGCAGATCGATGTTCGTCAGGAGTCGAAGCAAAGAGAATCCCCGCCGAGAAGATCATCATCTTCGCCTGCGACACCACGGACGTCGCAGAAGGGCGTGAGGTCAACATCAAAAGGTGGGAGGTCTAAATCACCCACCAGTGCAGAGTTTCGCGCCGCGATTAAAGAAAAGAACAAGATGGAGATGGAGATCGGGGAATACCAAAAGACACTTGATGAAATGTCGGCAGCAATGGCGAATCTTCATCAAGAAGACTATGGGAGCACCATCCGGATCCAGGAGCTGGAGAGACGATGCGAGATTGCCAGCAAGCAGTCGGGACATCTTGTGAGTCACCACCAACACCACATGGCTGAGGCATGGCGCAAGTTTGAGGAGGAAGCCCAACAGATGCGCAAGGTGGAAATGAACGCATATCAGTACGGGGAAAAGAAGGACATGGAGTCGAATGTTATAATACAACAGATGAGACAAGCTGAAGGAACTATTATGGAGCAGAAGCGGGAGATTGCAGTGATGAAATCCTACATGGCAAGCGAGAAGTCGGCCGCGCAGGAATCAGCTATACGTGCAAATCAGATACACCGTGAGGCTTCACAACAAATATCAGTTTATCAGCAACAGATCAGAGGTATTGAATCGTCTACATCTATCGAGAAGTTCAACGAGGAGGAGATGGTCCAAAGTCTAAAATCACAGTTGGAGCATGCACTCGTCAAACTCCCCGAGACGTACTCTATGGAGGACTCCAGGGAGCAGCTGATGGTGAGACTGAACGACGTTACAACATTCGCGGAGCAAGAATCGAAGAGAGCAGAGTGCTTACTTCGCGAGAAGGAAGAGATCGTCAAGCAGTACGAATCCGACGTGTTGAAGAAGGACCAGATGATTGCTATCGAGGGTAGTCATCGTCAAGATACGATCTTGGAGTTAGCCCAGGTCAGAGAAGCAAAACAAGAAGAGCGGTGCACGATGGACGAGAAATCGAAAGAGGCCGAGTACTGGAGATTGACAGCTAAAGGAGTGTATGATGAGTACCTCGAGGAGATGCGTGAACTTCAGGGACAACTGAAGGATCGGGAGGCGACGCTCAAGCAAGAAGAGAGTTTTGTTCGTCAACTCGATGCTGACAATGAGGAACTACGAGCACTCAAGAAACTGGAAACACAGGAAGCCTCTAGCAGTAAGGATGGACATCGTGAACGAGCAGTAGTGAAACGCGCTGAGGGAGGACCCCAAGCTAATTCGACTAGGGTAGACAAGAGGGTGACTGGGTTATTCCCGTCATCGTCATCGAATCTGATCCCTAATTCGTCACTAATGCCAGGTTCGATTCTCTTTCCGTCTTTTGGTGATCCAATGATCGATGTACACCTATCCCAGATGCAAGGGGTTGTTGGGCATGTCCCACAATCCGCTACTACAGCTGGTGGTAGTGGTGATGGAGGGGCAAACAACGGTACTACACCCCCATTGGATTACGGTGGATTCTCGCCCAATGGAAATAGACAAGGGGCAGGTCGACGTCAGTTGAGCCTCACAGGTGGCGGAGGAGGACCTCCGGATGATCCACCCGATGATGAGGACGAGGATGACGACGACGAAGAGGATGAAGAGGACGAGGAAGAAGAAGAGGAAGAAGATGACAATCGGACACGGAGGAGGCGCAGAAGATCGAGGGATGATCGAGAAATCAAGAGCGAAAGACCGAGGATTTCGAGGAAAGAAGCCGAGAGGGTGTCTATTCCTGCTTGGCCAAAGATCCATCAACTCGATAACTGGAAGATGCAATTGCTGATGAATGTTCTGAGCGCATGCGCAGATCCAGATACTGACACATGGACGAAATGGTTGGAACAGGCTCTTGGGTTAAACCCAGACCTAAATCTGCTGAGCGACTCCGGCGGCGACAGATTCGCTACGATAGATATCAAAATGGCCATGGGCATGCAGAACATGTTGAAACAAGCACCTGACGAAGCCAAAGACGTGTACCTCGACGCTACGCGACATTCGGAACTACGACATCAACAAGGGGTGATCGTGAAGGGACGAGAGTTGGTGGCATTGGTTATGCAATCATTCAGGACGTCTGATCGAACGGATCTTGTCTACCACATCGAGCACCTATTCAACCTTGACTTTCCTGGAGACAAGAATTTGGTTATATTCAGGAACAAGTGGTATGATTTGTTGCTAAAGATGAGGAGCGAAGATAGACCCAGCAAGTTGGCTCTCAGAGATATTCTCTACAGGAAGATCAAAGGGAGCAAGAAGATGGAGTTCGGCCTCAACGCCTATCATAGGTTGCCGGACAAGCATCCTCAAAAGACGTACGAATTCTTGTTGGCATTGATCGACCACCAAATTAAGGCGGATCGGGAGGACCTGATGCTTGACATGAAGGAGAAATCGGTCAAGTCAATGATGAAGTCGGGCGGCAGAGATGCAGCCCCGGCTACTGGCAAACAGGAGAACCAGGGTGGCAAAGGCAGGAAGGGGAAACCCAGTGGACCTGATGCTGCTCCTGTACTCCCAAAGGCCAAAGCAAAGGGTCACGCTGGCAAGAACGGCAAGTCCGACGGTGCCAGCGACAGAGGCAAGAGTCCGGGCGGAGGTAAAGATAACCCATGTTGGTATCACTTCAAGGCAGCGAAGGGATGCGTAAAAGGGAATGAATGCACATTTTCCCACAGCAAGAAGACGGAGCACAAGCTGGAGAACATGCCCAAAGGGAAAGGAAAAGGTAAGTCCAAGTCCAGATCATCATCACCAAAGAGGGATGATGGAGCATGCTTCGCGTTTCAGAAGGGAAAGTGCGACAAGGGGAGTGCTTGCAAGTATAGGCACGAGCTCATCAAGAACAATTCAGCTCCGGCAACGTCAAGCGACAAGGCGCAAGCCAAGTCGAAGGCTGCCGCCAAAGCCGCAGCGCCAGCTATTGCAAGAAGGGCCATCGCGATGCCTGCGATAGTCTTGAAGCAATCGGCTCCTGCGGGAAAGGTCAGCTTCAAGAAGGACGTTGACCAGGTCGAACCGGATGAAGCCGAGACTGTCTACCACGAGCATGATGACGACGCAATGAGCGAATCATCAAGATGGTCTGGCGAGTCCGAGATCCCCGAGAAAATGGTATGGTTCAAGGAAGTACTCGATGTCGACGAGAATGGGGAGATCACCTATCTCGAAGACGAGAGAAGGCAATGGGAACGAAAAGGGGAGTGGTACGGCTATGAGGACAATGAGAATGAGCCTTATCAGTACGTGCACGTCGACGAGAAGAAGTTTAAGAGCAGTGATCATCGAGAATTATCAGCCTATCAAGTCCAACGATCATTGATAAGAGCGAAAATACTGAGAGAGGTGGTAGACGACATATACAGGAAACACTACTTCCCAGTAACCAAGGAGAGCACCATAATGTTCGAATATGATCGGAGCAAGGACGAGATCAAGGAATCGGCCGTCGACTGGAAGAAGCAGCATGGTTTGCCGAAGAATGTGTTCGCAATGTCAACGTGCATCAGCAAACGGGTGAAATGGTTGATGGACACCGGATGTGGTCATGATCTCATTGGACGAGCCAAGGCAAAGAGCCTGGGTGTCGATATTGTGAAAGATGATGATGAGATGTGTTCCAGACCGCAAATGGTTCCACTTCCACATCTGACGTGGCCAAGATAGTCGTGGACGAGTTGGACGAGACTGTCGAGCCGCACGTGTTGGACGAGACACCCACGGTGTTGTCAATAGGGAGGAGATGCATGAAGATGGGTTATGCATTTCACTGGATGCCTGGTAAACTACCTTTCATGGTTACACCAAAGCAGGGATTCGTGCACTTACAAGTCAAGGACGACATCCCATACCTCGTGAGTGATGGTAAACTTCGGAGTAACAGGCATCGCCCTACGGTAGACGACCTCAAGGAGCATTTTTCGGAAGTATTGACAATGGTAACGAACGATGAGGCAGATCAGGATGGCGACGATGACACCGAGGTCACACCCGCCGCTGTCGGTGAATCCGCAGAGGTCGAGGGCGAGCGCCATGATGGTGCGTTTGACTTCGGACCACCCGGAGGAGCCGGTCCGGTACGTCCGCCTCCCGTAGCTGAGGAAATACCTGTAGACGTTGGGCCAGTCCCATGTCGACATGGTGATGCCGAAGCTAACGAGGAAGAGGTTGATGAGGATGATCCAGATGCC